TCGTCATTTTCTATTGCTTGTTGAAGCCGAGGGTCCATTGTTTGATGGGCGAAATGGAGGAGCAGAGGGGTTTTGCTCGATGATGGTCGATGGAAGTAAGAGTAGCGAACTTGCAAAATCATAAATAGTGCCCTAGTCAACCAAGCTTTACTTTAGGTGAGGTGAGTCATTGTTTATGATTTATCCCGTACGAACAAATTCAATTGGTTGGGGGATCTTTCTCTTTAGAAAACTTACATGCGAAGTTAGCGCCATGTGAGCCAAGTCGGCAAGATAATTTAAACTAATCGAACAAGTCTAATTAATCCTACCCCAGTAATTTGTGTTAAGGAAAATTCCCAATAGTTTTTGAAGTTGACAAAACTGTCCATGAGTGTTTTGTAAGTCTGATAAATGCTTTGAAGTATTTTGATTCAGGAAGTTGTTTTTGGAAGAAAAGCATATGTCAATCTTGATCTAGTTCGTGTTCAGATTGTGAAAGAACTTCAAGCAAGAGAGATTCAGACTCAGAACGAGAAGTTCAGACTCAGAACGAGAAAGTTCAGGCAGAATTTCTTCGGACGCAGAAATTCTTCAGACGCAGTGCTTGAAATTATTCGACGCACGCTAAAATTATTCGGGCGCAGAATTCGGAACGAAACATAACAGCTAGTGATCTGGTATGGATTTCACAGAAGGAAAGTTTTGATTGTCTCAATTTAAGGCTATAATTGATTGACAATCAAACATTACGACAAGTATACATTACAACGGATAAAGCTCTACTTATGGAAACCAAGATTCTGATTGTATGGGCGACCAGAATCAGCGGGATTCAGATTTTATCAACCAACGGCTACTCAATCCATTTTATACAAATCTGTCCAAAAGTGAATATTGGAAGATGATCCTCTGAAGACTATCCAACGGCTAGTTTGGAAGTGGAGGAGTATAAAAGGAGATCAACGAGGAGCAGAAGGTAGAGAACGAAATCAAGAATCAACAAGTCCAAAGTTTGAGCATACTCCGATTCAATCTCTTGTCTTTCGTGAGCTTAAACGTGTAATCATTTGAGAGGTGTAGACAGTGTTATAAGTGTGTGCTTAGGTGTGAGATAGTGTGATCTATTGGCTTGGTATAAGCAGCACCAGCTTCGGGGAGAAGTGCTTGGGTTTAAGCAGCACAACTTGTGTAACTTCTCATTGATTTGATTAGTGGAATCCAGCCGGTAGGGCCGTAAGCGTGGGAGAGTGGACGTAGGCTTGCTATAAGCCGAACCACTATAAACTTGTGTGCAGATTCTTTATCCCTTATCTCTTACTTTACATTCTGCACATCAAGAGCACAGTCTATATAATCTGTCTTGAATCTGAATTTTATTCAGACTCTTTTGCGATTTATTTTGTTTCCGCATAAATTATTAAAACTTGTTTTCGATCACCTATTCACCCCCCTCTAGGTGATCCTTGCTAGCTACATCAATTTGTTGTCTGACAAATTTTTTTTTATTTTCCTTCTTTTCTCTTTTTTCAATTGACTAAAGTCCCAAACTTAAGCCCTTTTTCAACTCTTATCCCCATTATCATCGAGAAGATTTAATCAATATCCATAAACTGGCGAGTCATTAATGGGTTTTTCATCACTCGTTCCTTTTTAATGTAGTGGATGATTGAGTTTTCTATCATCATAAATAAGATGGATGCTATTAGGAGCGAGCAATCGAGCCGGTTCAATCCGGGAACCAGCCCAAACCAGCCTTATCAGTTGCATGCCAGTTCACGCGTGAATCGGTTCGATTTCCGGATAAAAAGATTGGGAACTGGTCTCGATCAATTCGATTCCCGATTCTATACCTGAACTGATCAATTTCACTGCCAATCCCTCAGTTCCTCACTCTCCCTCTTCTGCGGCTCGATCTCAACTTCATTCGCAATTCGCCACTCTCCCTCTCCACTCCGAGGTACTCTGTACGTTGGTTTCGTTTTCGATTTCTTCGTGGAATGGTATCTGAGCTAAATTTCCTCCGCCATCTACGCGATAATCCCCTGAATCCGCGTGAGGAGCACTGTTGTGGTGGGGTTACGTCAAGTCATTATTCAGTCAGTGGTGATTTCATATGCCTAAAGTTTGTTTGGCTATAGCATTAAAGCTGAAGAACTCTTGCCACTTGAACACTGGCTTTTCGAGAGAATTAACTTTTGATGAGTGAAAATAGGGCTTTTCTTACCTCTCGGTGCTCTCTTTTCCTTTGCTTTTCTGTTTTCTGTTTTTTTAACGTGAAGTGGGTCGCGAGTAGGGGCGAGCAAATTTGGAATTCGGTGTCTTTTTACTTTGAGTAGTCAATGCTGCGAATACTGAATAGTTAGAATGTGAGCCCGTGTGGTCGAGGTTCTTGTCTAATTGGGAGGAGTTTGAATTCTCGTTTCCTTGTGTGAAATTCAAATCTATGATCTTCCATAGTGGAAAGAGGCTCGGCAAGCCGGCGTAATTACAAAAAAAGTCACAAACTTATTTTATTTGTGTAAATTCAATTCTAAACCTTTCAATTTGGCCAATTTAGATATAAACCTTCGGACAATTTATCAATTTAATCCATCCGGCTAATTTTGGCTGGAAATTGCTAACGTGGAACCGACCGTTCTATGTGACATGGCCGGCACTAACACAAACAATTTTTTTAAATTTTTTTTCCTTTTATTTTCCTTCTTTTATTTATTTATTTTTGCTGTGGCCAGCAAGGGCCGTGAAGACCTTGCCCAGATCTGGGTGGGGCCTACCTCACCATGGCCTCAACCATATTTGGGCGAGGCTTGCCAGCAATAGTGAAAAAAGAAGAAGAAGGAAATTAAAAAAAAAATTTGTCCACGTCAGCATGGGCCTTACCACTTGGGTTTCCCTGGCGGCCATGGCGACGTGTAGAGGAGTTTTTGGTAAGGGGTCCTCAGATACACGATCTAAGAGTTTTCAATCCTCCACCATTAAGCTATGTAGCTCATCAACATCATCATGTTCTATTGCTTGTTGAGGCCGAGGGTCCATTGTTTGACGAGGGAAACGTAGGAGAAGAGTGGCTTTGCTCGTTGATGATGGAAGGAAGTAGGAGTAAAGCGAACTTGCGGAATCATAAATAGTGCCAGTCAATTAAAGTGTAATTAGGCGACTCGGTGTTTTTTATGCATCCGGTAGGAACAACGCAACTAGTTGGGGGATCTTACTCTTGAACGTGCATGCGAAGTTTCGCAATGCGTGAGCCAAGTCTCAAATTCGTTCGCGATTCGCACACTCTCCTCCTCCACATGTCGGTTTCGTTTTCTGATTACTCCATGCGAGGAGCATTAGTGTGGTGGGGTAAGGTCAAGATTTTATTCATTTGGTGTCGATGCCTTATGCTGAAAGGATCTTTGGAAAGCTGAAGAACTCTACTTTTTGAGAGAATGACTTTTTGAGGAGTGAAAATAGGGCTTTTCTTACCTCTCGGTGCTCTCTCTTTTCTGTTGCTTTTTCTATTTTTTGTTTTTCTTAATGTGAGGCGGGTCACGAGTAAGAGGGAATACTTGGATCTATTGTGAAGGATGAAACATAGCTGCGTCCATATATACCCTTCCTCAAACTAAGCATGAAAAAAAAAAAAAAAAAGACGTAAGCCAGTTCCCAGGTCTACCTTGAAACTAGCCGGTTAGGTTCCAAGCCAATCTTAGGGCTGGTTCGATTTCCAGATCCAAAAATTGAGAATCGCAACATTTTACTTTCAACAATAATTTGATAGGAATGTATAAAAAATTAAGAAGACAAATGCATTTTTTTAATTGTAAAAATTATCATTATATTAGTCAGAAATTTATATCAAAGCGTCCGAAGAACACGGCCTAATAGGTAGAATTCTTGTACTATTGGCCAAAAAACAAGTGGGTGCGTTTGTTGTGCATTTTATTCGATTTGCTCCTATTTGGTGTGAAGCAGCTTTTTAATTACATTGCGTACTTTTTTTTAAAGATATATTGACTTAATATGTACCGTTGGGTGGTAAATTCATTTGATTCATGGCAATTACTCGTTTATTGTCATAAAATTTTGGTTAATAGATATAATAGTCATACATGCGCGGTAAAAATCCTTTAAGTATTTAACTAATTCTTATTCACTTTAGTTACATTGTTAAATTCGTGTGCAGCACGGGCATGAGAACTAATTTTTATCCAAATGAATGTCCTTGACCTTATTTAAAAGCCCAAGAATCAAGATATGTTTTCGAGATGTTACTCAACCAGCACAAGGAAGCAGTAAGCTAGACCCTAGGAATATTAGCATAACTTAGTATAGTATTGCAGTGTATAGTATAGGCTAATTTTAGTATTCCTAACTTTATTCGTGAAGAAATTTTTAAGTGAAAAATATTTAATGACCTTCATTTGATAAATTTGGGATATTTGAACCCGAAAGATTTTATTGCAGATGTATATCTCTCTTTCCATTGCATGTATGCATCCATTTATCGACGAGCGATTCTTTTAGCTTATAGATTGAAAAGAGCAGGTAATGCTCCGATTAGAATGTGTCCTATAATGGGAAATTTGTCAAGACGGCGATCTTCATGAATTGATGCTCGAGCTATTGTGCAAACAAGACAGTTTCATGTTATCCTCCATTAAAACAACTAAAAATAGATTGACACTTCTATGGTTCCCGTTAATAAGGTTGTTGTTGAGCCTCAAGAACAAGAAGTTGAAGTTTTGGAATTTCCTTTTCAAGAATTAGAGGATTTGGAGCATTTTGAGCTTGAGGAAGAATCTCAGGGTAACCATTTTTGCCATTAGGATGGAGAGACGATTTTGGAGGAAAGCCCCTCTCATGTTGATCTGAATTTAGATATAGACGAGATTTCGGTAGAGAAATTTGAAGCGATAGAAAATCGCAAGAATTAAAATAGATCTACAATTGATTTCGTGATACCATAAAATTTACAAAATCGATTGATGGATAGATGTTGAAGTTTGGTTTGGATATGTATCATTCAAACACCACAAGAGTAGTTAAAGTAAATAAAATACATGCGAATTATTCCTTTAATCCTGGGATGTCGCTGATTTGTCTCCTTGTGGCATCAACTCGGGATACAACTCGGAAGTGCTCTCGCCACGAGAGCCAGGGGAGCACCAACCCCACGAATGGCAAGGACCACAAAAAGGCCAGCGCGAACACTCCGACGACACTAAAGGATTTGGGGAATTCAATTACAAGGAACGTATAGTAGGCAAAGCCAAGAATAATCAAAGAGAAGTAAACAATGCGAGTGTTGGGCCACAGTGAAAGAGCAGAGACCCCGATTGACAAGACGGAGACGTAAAAAGCCGTGCTGTTGAGATATGCGAAGAAATATAGATTTGAGCCACTCATTATAATGTTCCCGGCTTGATGTGGCTTTTCAACAGCAATGCTGCTGGAATTGGGGGTAACGACAGTGGAATTGGCCGGGGGATTTGAAGTGGAATCCTGCCAGTATCCTCCCGGAGGACTCAGAACAGCTTGGTAAGTGGCAGTCGCAATTAAGGTAGCCACTATAAGGATTATGTTGAGAGTGGCTTCATTTTGGATGCCGAAAATATATAAGTACTTCTCAAAGTGAGTTAGTTCCATGCTTAAAAACTGTGATAGAGAGAGGGTAGAAGTGGATCTTAGGCATAACCTCTTCGCAAGACCTTCATCAAAATGAACATTCACTAGGAAGATGTCCAGAGCTGTCCTATTCTGGAAGTTCTTCGCATTTACATCCGTATACCCAATCAATAGCTTGATAATCTGGAAGAATTGCAAACAGAACAAAATGAAGTATGTATCCCTTCAATTTCAACCACTGCTTTCTAACAGGCTTTACTATTGTGCACAAAGTGAGCTCATGCCATGTAAGTTTGAATGATGCAAGTGATGCAACGATCAACAAATAAAGGGAAAAAGTTTGCTAAATCTGATATATCAAATTGAATTATTTCAACCAATGTAGTGAAGTCCTGAATCTTTTTAAAAAGTGCGATCTAGTCCTTTCACCCAAAATTATTTACGTGGTAGCTAGGAATATCCCATATGAATTGTAACATAGGAGAATCTACAAAAGTGATAACCCTAATAACTATGGTCTTTCATAAAAGCATAGGCCTTAATTACGTCAACTGAAAGGCTTAGGAGTCAATCACATTTTGTATATTAGTTCTCTTGCTATGAAGAGAAAGACTTCCTAAGACAGGTATATTTATATCCTTGATGCATAAGATTCAACTAATCAGGGAGTAATTTTCCGATCCACCAAGTGATTATTTTATGGTTGTGTCGTTTTGTCCTTGTTAGCTTCCATTTCACCAGCTTCTATCTCGTACAATATTTTTGAATGGACTGATTTCGAAAGAAGGAAAGAGATTTTGCTAATCCATAGGAAAAATGAAATAATAGAAATTATTGTTGTGTTAGGTAGGAGTAATTATGATGTAAAGAGTTGGAAGGGAAGTATTGATCCAAAATCATCCAACTTAAAAAGATTTAGAGCTCACTAAAAACTGAGTTTTATAGGGGTTCGAAGGGAAACAATCTTGATCATAACTTTTCTCTCCACTTACTACTGTAAACCTGGTGATCTCTCTATATCACTCCTTTTCTTTCCTTCCCTTTTCTCTATAACCTCCAACCAAAATATAGTTAGGCCAATTAAAATGAACACAAAGTGGAAGCATCACGAGCTTAAAATAGTTTTCCCACTTTTGAAGTGAAACTATGGGCTTGTTTAATTGAAAAGTAAGCGCTAGTGTTGATAATCTTATGCGATGAAAATAGAAATAAAAAATTGTTTGTTGATAATTAAAAATACATCACTGAATATGATTAATTTCTTTTCAAATATGAAACTATGATTACTATTGATAGGTTTTAACAATATAATAGGGAAGATTCTAATTATTGTCCATTATAAAGATTACTAGATTAGGTGGATGTTTTGACTGAATTGAGTCTTATAAGTCAAACGCCAATTAGGATTATCATACAAGTTTGATGTCATCTACTGCTAAATTTTTAATTTCGAGCACTTAATTTAATTCACAAACATGCCCATATGTATATAATAAATTAAACGACAACAATGAAAAAACAATCTACATACTCATATAATCACTATCTTAATGACTATTTGACTTTATTTTATATATAGAAGCACTACTTGTTGACCTAAATTTTACAACCCATCTGAATGACATAAAAAGACTACTATATGTGTGGATGGGCCTCTCCTCCCGTGACCAAGTGCACGGGAAATTTGTCAGAGAGAGAATTGGAAGTAGAAGATTGTGGGAGGGAAGGAGTGATATCCAATCCCTCCTAATTCCTTTTCTTCTCTCCATCAAAAGAAACAAAACAAGGTGGTCCCGTTCAAATCTCCTCATTCTGAATGTTTTCTAAAACCATGTACTTATTACCATTATGTTTGCTCCTGGATAAGCTTGTGTTGAATTGAAGGATCGAATAATAAAATCATTAAAAACCACGAAACCGATGAACTATACCTTGGGCTGCCCTTCAGATGCAGCAATATGTAAGGCGGTGTTACCATCTTGATCTTTCCAGTTCAAGATTCGTGTCATATGGACTCGCTTAAGCCATCCAAACAAAACCTTGAATGCTTTGAGGTTGTGCTTCTTGACGGCTACGTGAACCGCGGTCTCGCATCGACTCGTCAAGTCTTCAATGGACGATCGGCAAGCAGATAGGAATTCGGCTAGGAGCTCTAGCTCATCATCTCCTTCTTTCCCTGCAACATAATGCAAAGGGGTGATCCCGCATCGTCCTTGGACTCGAATCAACTCGGGGTCAAGGGTCATCAGTGCCCTCACGGTGTGATAATGCTTGTGTTGCAAAGCCAAGTGCATGGGGCTGTAACCCTCTGGATCTAGCTTCCGAGAAAATGATGGCTTCAAGATGGCCACCTCCATGGCCACTTGGATTTTCCCGGCAGCCGCAGCGACGTGGAGAGGAGTATTTGGGAAGGGTTCCTCAGATACACGATCTAAGAGTTTTCGGTCCTCCACAATTAACCTATGTAGCTCATCAACATCATCATATTCTATTGCTTGGTGAAGCCGAGGGTCCATAGTTTTAGGGAAATGTGGGATCAAAGGGGCTTTGCTCGTTGGTGATCGATGGAAGTACTAGTAGCAAACTTGCAAAATTATAAATAGTGCCCTAGTCAACCAAAAAAAAACTAAGTGACTCATTGTTTATGATTTATCCCGTAGTAACAATTCGATCTTTTTTTGAGAACTTACATGCGAAGTTTTGCATTGTGTGAGCCAAGTCAGCAAGATAATTCAAATTTATCGAACTAGTCCAATTAATCCTAACCGAGTAATTTGCGGTTTGATTTTTTTTTTTTATATGTCGTTGACGATGGATGGAAGTATATAGTGCCATAGTCAACCAAAATATAATTAGGTGATTCATTGTTTATGATTTATCCCATAGAAACAATTGAAGTGATTGGGGGATCTTTCTCTTTAATGAACTTGCATGCGAAGTTTCGCAATGCCAGGAGTCAAGTCGTCAGAGATAATTTAAATCAATCGAACAAGTGTAATTAAGCCTTAGCCAATAATTTCTGGTCTGAATTTTTTTTTTGGTTAATATCGGTGGGTGTATTATCGAAACGGCCTCACCAGTTTTTGATAAATCGTGACTACACCCACCCGGTTTGCAAAGATGGTATCTACTTAAAGCCGTGTGAAGCATAAGAATTTCATTGCCCGAATTCTACTAACTGCAAACTCGATAATCTGATTAGAGCTTTTTTAAAATAAAAAATGTTAAGTCATCAAGTGGCCAAAATAAAAATCTGACTCTTCAATTGACTAAAAGCCCCTTCTCCATGCTTATCTCTATTTCCATCAAGAAGATTAAATCAATATCTATAAACTGGTGAGTCATCAGTGATTTCTTCATCACTTGTTCCTCCTTAATGGAATTTGACAATTGAGTTTTCCATTATCATAAATTAGACATATATTCTGACCAAAAAAAAAAAATCAGACGAATACTATTAGGAGTGAACAATCGGGCTGGTTCAATTCGGATTCTAGTTTGAACCAGCCTTATCGGTTCCAAGTCCATTCACGCGGTAATATGTTTGCCTTCCTAATAAAAAGATTGGAATTGGCTGGATCAATTTGGTTCCCCATTCTATATCTTGAACCGATCAATTTTACCGAAAGAGCAGGCCTTGCAAGACAAGTTCTGGGGTTGAACCGGTTTAATCGGTTCACTGCTAACGCCACCCTTTTTTCGATTTCTTCGTCGAATGGTATCTGAACCAAATTTCCTCCGCTATCTACGGGATAATCCCATGACTTCGTGTGAGGAGCACCAGTGTGGTGGGGTAAGGTCAAGATTTTATTCGATCATTGATGATCTTTTAGCGTATTTCTGTCCGTCTCTTTTCGTTGCGGTTGATTTTGCTTTTGCAATTACGATCCTCGGATGCTGTGCGTTTGAAGAGAACGACTTTTGAGGAGGGAATATAGGCTTTTCTTACCTCTTTGCTCTTTCTTTTCTTTTGCTTTTTCTGTTTTATGGTCTTTTAATGTGAGGTGGGTCAAAAGTAGGGGGGAGAACATTGGAATTCGATGTCTTTTTACTGTGAACTCCATAATGTGAATAGTTGGCATGTGAGCCTTCAACTCTTCAATTGACTAAATTGCCCAAACTTCGACCAAAAATAAAAAATAAAAAATGCCCAAACTTGAGCCCTTTCTCTACGCTTATCTCTATTACCGTCAAAAAGATTAAATCAATGTCTATAAACTGGTGAGTCATTTGGGGATTGTTCATCACTTGTTCCTCTTTAATGCAATTGGCAATTGAGTTTTCCATAATCATAAATCAGACGAATACTATTAAGAGTGAGCAATTGGGCTGGTTCAATCCAAGAACCAACCCAAATCAGCCTTATCAGTCACATGGGAATTGGTTCGATTTCTAGATAAAAAGATTGGGAACCTGTCTTGATCAATTCGGTTCCCAATTTTATACTCTCAACCGATCAATTTTGCCGAAAAACTGGCCTTGCAAGACAAAGTTAGATGCCTTGGGCCCCCCCTGATTTCTTCGTCGAATGGTATCTGAGCCAAATTTCCTCCGCTATCTACGGGATAATCCCATGACTTCGTGTGAGGAGCACCAGTGTGGTGGGGTAAGGTCAAGATTTTATTCGACCATTGATGATCTTTCAGCGTATTTCTGTCCGTCTCTTTTCGTTGCGGTTGATTTTGCTTTTGCAATTACGATCCTCGGATGCTGTGCGCTTGAAGAGAACGCCTTTTGAGGAGGGAATATAGGCTTTTCTTACCTCTTTGCTCTCTCTTTTCTTTTGCTTTTTCTGTTTTATGGTCTTTCAATGTGAGGTGGGTCAAAAGTAGGGGGGAGAACATTGGAATTCGATGTCTTTTTCTGATTTTTTTTTTTTATATATCGTTGGATGTCATTTCTCCGCAACTACATGAAGTTGTGGGGAGTAGCGGCTGAGGTTGTCTTGATCAATCACAACTACAACCACCCGGCTCACAAAGATGGTATCTACTTAAAACTATGTGAAGCATAAGAATTTCAATGCTCGAATTCCGCTTTGTAGCAAACTCGATAATCGCTCGAAGTCGCCAATTCAAAAGTTTAAGTCTTCAATTGAGCAACTGCCCAAACCTAAAGTCCCGTTTTTACACTTATCCCTATTGACTGTCGAAGAAGATCACACCGATATCCAAAAATCAGTCACCGATAGGTGGGTTCTTCATCACTTGTTCCTCCTAATTTAACCGGCAATTGAGTTTCGATAATCGTAAATCGTACAATTGGTATAATATCTCTCTTGATATTAATTTTAAAGATTTTAACCCGGAAGTTTCAGGAATGCTCTCGTGAATTATACTTACATATTGCAATTCCGTAATACAAAATTAGATAACATAGCTACGAGCTAATTTTGGGAGGGGTTAAATATTATCTTAAAAATCTCATATGCTTTGACTATTAAAACTCGACCTTAAGTCATAAAAGACCCATGATACGGAAAATGATAGTGAAATGATGAACCGCATAAAAATCTTACTCGGTGAACTCTTTCATTAAGACGACGGTTCGGGTATAGTGAACAAAATGCTTGCGGCACCAACTTCACTGGCTCAAAATGATGAGGCGAGCACATGCGACGATTGTCATGCATGCCATAAAGAGCCACTATCATGTACAGGGAGTAGAGCCGTTTCAGTAGCAGAGGAAACTGCAACTGAAGGATCTATACTAACTGAGCTGAAATAAATCAACAAAAACTGTTCAAGTAACATAAAAGATTTTGTAGACATATGAGTTTCCAATACATTACTTTTTCTATATGAAGATGAGATTGAGTTTAAGAATTTCAAGAAGTTTCATCATCTGCTATTTGATTTACACACCCCTAAATTTATTTCCCTTCCATGTAATTCAAACTAACGTCAGCAGGATTAAGTTGTCCTAATATTTATGTCGTGTAGGGCTTTCTGAAGTCACCCTTTTGCAAATGTTGGTCAAAAACTAACATTTGAATCACCTGTAGAATGGATTTTTGCAAAAAAGAAGTATCTCCATTTTTGTTCACTATCTGTACCTTGTAGCTCCTTCTGTGTAAAACGTGTCCGGCCTTTAAATATGAAGCGGTAGAGAGAGCACGTGGAACTCGCAGCTCTATGCATGGAACTGTGTGTGGTAAAATTTGATTTTGAGCAGTATTGTATTCGAAATATGCTTCTGGCCTTGGTGCTAAGAAATCATCCCAGGACCACACATCAAAACCAAGATCTAGAGAGCCTTTAAATAGGAAGAGAAATACAGAGAGCACGTGGAGCTTGCGGCTCTACGCATGGAGGTGTGGGTGGATAAAGTTTGAATTTATGGGAAACAGTATTCGAAATATTCGTCTGCATTTGTGTAAAAAGTCAAGATCTGGAAAGTGCTTATAAATGAAGTGAAATAGAGAGAGCATGTGGAGCTCGCAGCTCTATTCATGGAGCCTGTGTGTGGATACGTCTGCCTTTGTGTAAATTAATCATCACCCATCAGCAATTATTAATTGACCATAGACTGAAAAAGCCTTCTTCTTCCCTTTCCCCTACTGCTCTAAAGGTCTGAGAATTATAATATGATACCGAAAATGAGTTTTTGCATACCGAGGCCAAGAGAGCTTGTTACTACATGGACCATTCACCATTCTCTAAATTAGTGTAAAGCCCAAAAACTCGAAATTTATATATATATATATATATATAGCATGATATACAAAGTCTGTCACTCGATAAATGAAATAATATTTTGCTATCGTTCCCTGTATGATATATTTTGATAGGTCTACTTATTATCTTGAAATAATACTGACTTCCAGAGTTTATTTACATGAAAATAGTCAATTTCGATTTCATAAAATGGAATAGGAAAAACGAAAGGAAGGAATGAAAACAAGCGGAGTGAATATGAAGGAGTTGAACGTGGAGGTGAAGAGTATGGAGGCAAATTAATTGCTTTGATGGAAAGTACGCGAGACTTTTCTTTTCGATAACCCTAAGATTTTGTTGATTGTTAGAAGGACTCTTTTGGCAGGACTTGGCTCGGTTCCACGTGAATATAACTTATGACATGAGTCAAACGACTTCTTGTATAATCGATTGAAAATCAATACGAAACGTGGATTAGGCTGCGGCCTTCTTAAAAGATTTTAAGAAAGCCAAGGTGGGTTGCACTGTTTCTCATGATGACGTTGCCACAGGGCAAATAATCCAAATCTGCTCATGTCATCCATGTGTTAACAGACTCTAAAGGTAGTGCGATATACCATTCCTGCTCGTCCGAACCTGCTTTTCTGTTCTCGAAATAGCTTTGGACCGTAAACTCGTTTGGTAACGCAATTCCATTTTTCTATTTCTCGAACAACTTTTTGTTTCGTAACCGATTCTCAACCGTAAATCGAATAAAAAAGTAGGTTTTCAATTTTTAGACAAAAAATGAGAATCATTTCTGAGAGAACTCTTTCTTCAAAACACATGTTATCCGGAAGTCACGATCTTTGAGGTGGGAAAAAAAGCAAAAATCAAAAATTTCAAAACTTCACGTAATCTTTTAGAATCA